AGCTGATCCCTTTCCAGGATGCTGGGGGTGAGCTGATCCCTTCCTGAGGGGCTGGGAAGGTCCCAGTCATTTTGCAAGAGGCTGGAAGGAACCAATCCCTTCCAGAGGGGCTGGGAGGGAATCCATCCCTTCCAGAGGGGCTGGGAGGGAATCCATCCCTTCCAGAGGGGCTGGGAGGGAATCCATCCCTTCCTGAGGGGCTGCTCCGAGGCTTTGCTTCCCTGTGGGGATAATTTTCCAAAGGGGATTGTTAAAAACCTCCCTGGAAAGGTGGCTCTGCGTGGCTGGAACCCTTCCCATGGGGAGAGAGGAGCCTGTGGGGATGTGCAGAGAGGATGAGGAGGAGACACACCGGGATGTGAAGGGCAGACCACACTCAGTGCTCCCCGTTGTGCTGTGGGCTGGCTTTGGGCGGGGATAGGAGGCAGTGGCAGGTTTGGGGTGGGAGGGGGGCTGTCCCTGTGTGACCCAGTCCCTCTGGCAGCAATCTGCAGAGCGCTGTGTGAGCACCCTGCTGGACCTCATCCAGACCAAGGTGAACTACGTGGTGCAGGAGGCCATCGTGGTCATCAAGGACATCTTCCGCAAGTACCCCAACAAGTGCGTGGGGCTCCCTGGGCTGTGCCTTCCCCGGGGCGCTCCTGCTTCTACCTGAGCTCTTCCCTCCCCTCTGTGCTTGGGGGGCCACAGACTTGGTGGGATGAAGCCCCCAGAGCCTCCCCACAGCACAGGTGGCTTTGGGTTTGTTTTGTCCCCAGCCCCAGGATGGTGGCAGTGCCAGATGCAGGCACTGAAATGGAGAGGAGCTGCCAGGGATGTGCAGGTCCCTTGTGTCAGCAGAAAGTGTCCCTGGCTCTCAGTCCAGCTCCTGGTGCTGGAACAAGGGCAGCAGGAGGAGAGGAGAGGGGAGGGAATGTTCCAGCTGAGCCAGGATGAATAGGCAACTCTGTAATCAGGAAGCTGGGCACTAATCGTGGTAATAAATACTAATGAACTGAATTGGTAACGAGCAGGGCTCTGCAGGAGTAGCCCTTGGCTCCAGGCTCATTCAGGAGCAGGGAATGTGCTGTGGGATCAGTGAGGGCACTGCCCATGGGGTGAGGGGCCAGCCCCAGGCAGGTGGGACGTGGTTTGGAGTTTGGGTGGATCAGGATTTGGGGTGAAGGGCCACCTCAGGCAGGTGGGACGTGGTTTGGAGTTTGGGTGGATCAGGATTTGGGGTGAGGGGCCACCTCAGGCAGGTGGGACATGGTTTGGAGTTTGGGTGGATCAGGATTTGGGGT